AGTGGGCAGCGAAGCAGTAATCCACGGATGTGAAAGGTCTAGGGGTGAAAACTTATGCCAGTCAAAAAGATGTAAACTGCTAGGAAAAAAATCACCTGAGTGATATGCACATACAGCTAAAGGGCATAGCTGCAAAGTCTTTTCTATGATGAGGCTGTCCCAATTGGAAAGTATGTGAAACAAAGTTTCAGCTGGTCCTGTTGTCTGTGCTGAAAGGGTAGCCCACATGTTGGTGCCCATAATGTAGCTAGGATCATCCACCCCAGTCAAAATTGTGTACATGTTATGGTAGAATTTCCTTTACCAGTTTGTTGGATCCACTGGAGGAGGATAAGATGGACAAAGCAATCTGAGAGGCTGTGCATATCCCCAGTCCATCCAACGTGACTAAACGTGTGCTGTGTTCCCATCTATTTATCGTGGGAAAGGCTCAGGACTTTTTTCTAGCATGGACTTTAGAAGTGTCAATCTTTTACTCTGAGACTAGAAAAGAATGGAGACCATCATAAAGCAATTTAGCTTTGGGAGGGATAGAGATCTGGTTAGGTTAGGTTAGGTAAGGTTTATCAGGAAACAGACAAGTGTTTCCTGATGCAGGTCTTAGTCATGTGACCCACCATTGGAACTTTTGGTCATCAGACCAAGGCCTTCTGCTGGCTTACAAGTCCACCCCTTTAAAAATTATGATCACAGTTATAACCATTTCTCTTTAGAGATCTGGTAAGGAGATAGAAGGCATCTTGAACATAAATACTACCAACCTGCAGATGTTTCATTCATTTCAAGTCATTTGATAAGGAAGGCGAGAAACACAATAGAATTCAAGAAAGAACTCGTAGCAAAGTACGGGTTGGATGTGAGTGGCCAGGATGTGGAAGAGTTGGTGGACGACTACAGGGAAGAGCTAACCACTGAAGAGCTGCAACACCTTCAACTGGAACAGCAACAGACCACAGCTGAGGAAATTGCTTTAGAGGAGGAGAAAGAGAGAGGGAAGAATGTGCTTTCTTCAGTGATTAAGGACATGTGTGTGCAAAGTTTTGTGCAGAAATATCACCCTAACAAAGCCGTTGCAAGCCGAGTCTGCATAATGTTCCATGACAATGCCTTGTCCCATTTTAGGCAAATCTTAGAGAGACGTCAGAAACAGACCTCTCTGGACATATTATTTGTGTGACAGGAGTCCAGTGCCAGTAAAAGACAAAGAAGGGAAGTAACCCCTGACAGGGACTAGATACCTGAAGTCCTTATGGAGAGAGATTCCCCTTCCAACCAATAACCTTTCCTCCTCCCTCTCCCTTCCTTGTGTCTTCCATACACCAACAAGAGTCTTCAATAAAGGTAGAAGTGATATTAAATGTTCATTTATCCATTTCATTAGTCCTTCATATTTATTTCTCATTGTTTTCTGTATGTAAAACTATAATTATTCTCTATAAAATTTATTTTTTGTTAATACTTTTGGGTGTCTGGAATGGATTAATTGGATTTACATTATTTCTTATGGGAAACATTGCTTCAGTTTTTGTCGAATTCGGTTTTCATCAGACTTTCTGGAATGAATTGATAAAAACTGAGGTTCCACTGTACTCTACATTGCAGAACATGAAAAACTGAAGTAACTATGGTACCTTGAAAATATATTATGTAGGATTTAACTTTTGTTTTATAATCAAACATATGACTACATTATTACTAATGGCAGAAATAAAATTAACCTACTAACCTTTATTTTTTTCCTGGTTGATAACATGTACCATGTTGATTACCCAGGAAGTAATGGCGTCTTCTGGGATTGCGTCAAACTCGGGCACATATGCAGCCATGACATCCTTCATCCCTGCAGAGTCCACCTCCTCCTCATCTCCTGCCACTTCTTCCAACACCCCACTTACATAGCTTACTACAATCTCATCAATACCACTGGAACAAAATAGCTTCAAATAATTCCAAGTTTTTTCAAGTGAAAATGTAAATAACAGTCAAAAGAGCACTGCAATTACAAAATGACTAACTGCAGCAAATTCATGAATTTAATACTTTTGTTATCTCTTTCTCTACCATGTGGAAAATTAAAAACCTCAAAGTAAAGGAGGTCCCCATTTCTATAGCTGTTACGTTCCAGAACCCCGGCAATAAGCAAAAATCGCCCACTAGAGAAAAAGAACATTTTTTCAATATCGAATGTGTTTAAAATGCCTGATAACGTGTTTACACTATCATATATTAAGTGCTCAATACAGCTAGGCATAAAAAAAATTGATATAAGAGTAAAATAAATACACAGAACATACAATATTTACCTTAAAATATGGCACTGCTCTCCCTTCCCTTATGCAACTGTTTAGAGAAAACAGCAGAAAAGCGGAAAAAGCACCGAACATAATGAACAATGGCTCAATTGAAAACCACCAAAACAGTGGAACATTGAAAAGAGGGAGTCAAAAATGCAGAGCCCTCCTGTACTGTACTCCAACTATCAACTTACCTAATATGAATGACACTCATATGCTTAGCTATTTTTTGTAAAATAATAATAATAATATTATTATTATTATTAAAATTATAACCCTTAATACAGTATATTGTACACAAAATAAGTGACATGAAACAATTGGCTAGTAAAGAGTTCAACAAGGCAGCTTAAAGACCACAAAACTGAAGCAATCACTATTCTTATATTCATCAGTGATGCTATTTTATTTAAAATACAATTGCTAACCACAATACCTACCTGACATCAGCACTTGGAGAATAATTGTGGAGTAATTTTTCAAGTGATGACCTTACAATATCGGCATCAGCACTCATGGTATAGATATACTCCTGACCACCTAGAAAAATAAACGAACAATACTTAGATGAAACATTTTGTTGCATTTATGCATTTTGAAAATGTACGTGATGGATGGACAAAAAAGCAGATTTTGGAAATGGTAATACATAACTAAAGTAGTAGAGAGTTTTTGTGGATAGTAAAGCTCAGGTTAGGGTAAGCAGTTGAAAGGGGGATTATCTGACAAAAAAAAGAAGGCCTTAGACAGGGATGTGTAATGTCATCGTGATTGTTAAAACATTTATAAGAGGGTGTAACAAGGTGTCCTGTAGCTTGGTTGGTAGTGCACTCAGCTCACATATTGAGGTCTATGGTTCATTCCCCAGTATGAGTGGAAACACTGGGGGCATGTTTCCTTAAGAAACCACCTATCCCTGTTCACCCAGCAGGGTGAACAGGTATTCCCATACTCAATACGTACTCCCATATCATAATTTCAATAATTACTTTTGAACCTATTATCCATTGTCAACAGGAATATAATTGAATCATTGTTTCACAAAAAGCATTTTTGAATATATGAATATATCTTTTGTTTTATATAAGTCAGATTCACTTATAATTAATAGATCTACTGTATAACTATGATATAATTCTTCAGTGTTAAGTAGTCAGTAAGCCAATAATGTTAAGTTGGCCCATAATGCCTAGGCATAATAGAGGCTCTCTTTGCACTGCAACCCATTATTGTAAATACATAATCTCAATGTACTATTTGCAAAGACATAAATAAATAGATAGATAAATAAATATTCTCCAACAATAAACTCGCCTCCTCTCCCTCTGCCATACACCAACAAAAGTCTTCAATAAAAGGCAAGTGTGATGTTAAATGTTCATTTATACATTTTATTAGTGCTTTATATTTACTTGGCATTCTTTTCTGCATGTAAATCTATATTTAAGCTAGGGAAGTGACCCTTGAAGTGACCTAGAGTCCTTATGGAGGGGGATTCCCCTTCCAAAAAAATAACCTCTTCCCTATCTCCTCCTCCTGTCTTCTATTCATCAACAACAGCCTTCAATAAAGGTAACTGTCATGTTGAATGTCCATTATTTTGTGCATGTAAATCTATCCTTAAGGTAAAAAAACAAATTGTTGTTGATACTTCTGGGAGTCTGGAACGAATTAATTGGATTTACATTATTTCTTATGGGGACAATGGATTCGAAAATCGTCAATTTTGATAATAGCCACACTTCCAGGAACGGATTAATTACGAAAAACAAGGGACCACTGTCAGTGTTGTCTGATAGGTATGTATAAGTTGTATCATGTACATGTACTTGTAGAAATAAAAGATTATTATTACATAATTTTTTTTAACACGTCAGCTGTTTCCCACCAAGGCAGGGTGACCCAAAAAGAAAAACACTAAAAGAAAGAAAAACCCAAAAAGAAAAAACTTTCATCATTCAACACTTTCACCATCACTCATACATAATCACTGTTTTCGCAGAGGCGCTTAGATATGGCAGTTCAAATGTCCCTCCAAACTGCCAATATCTCAAATCCCTCCTTTAAAGTGCAGGCACTGTACTTCCCATTTCCAGGACTCAAGTCTGGCTAACCTCTTTCCCTGAATTCCTTCACAAAATATTACCCTGCTCACACACCAACAGCTCGTCAGGTCCCAAAAACCATTTGTCTCCATTCACTCCTATCTAACACACACACATGCATGCTTGCTGGAAGTCCAAGCCCCTCACACACAAAACCTCATTTACCCCCTCCCTCCAACCTTTTCGAGGACGACCCCTACCCCGCCTTCCTTCCCCTACAGATTTATACGCCCTCCAAGTCATTCTACTTTGTACCATTCTCTCTAGATGACCAAACCACCTCAACAACCCCTGTTCAGTCCTCTGACTAATACTTTTAGTAACTCCTCGCCTTCTCCTAATTTCCACAATCCGAATTCTCTGCATAATATTTACACCACACACATTGCCCTTCGAGAGGATATCTCCACTGCCTCCAACTGCTTCTCTCTGCAGCATTTGCAACCCAAGCTTCACACCCATATAAGAGTGTTGGTACCACTATACTTTCGTACATTACTTTCTTTGCCTCCATGGAGGCAAAGAAAGATCTCCACAGTTACCTCAATGCACCACTCAACTTTTTTTCCTTCATCAATTCTAAGGTTAACCTCATCCTTCATAAACCCATCCGCTGATAAGTCAACTCCCAAATATTTGATAACATTCACTTCTTCCATACTCCCTCTCTCCAATGTGATATCCAATTTTTCTTTATCTAAATCATTTGATACCCTCATCACCTTACTTTTATCTATGTTCACTTTCAACTTTCTACCTTTACACACCCTCCCAAACTCGCCCATTAACCTTAGCAACTTTTCTTTAGAATCTCCCAAAAGAACAGTATCATCAGCAAAAAGTAACTGTGTCAACTCCCGTTTTGTATTTGATTCCCCATAATTAGTCCCACCCCTCTCCCCAACACCCTAGCATTTACTTCTTTTACAACCCCCATCTATAAATATATTAACCAACCATGGTGACATTACACATCCCTGTCTAAGACCTACTTTTACCGGGAAATAATCTCCCTCTCTTCTACACACCCTAACCTGAGCCTCACTATCCTCATAAAAACTCTTTACAGCATTTAGCAACTTACTACCTATTCCATACACTTGCAACACTGCCACATTGCCTCCTTATCCACTCTATCATATGTCTTTTTTAAATCCATAAATGCAATGAAAACTTCCCTTACCTTTATCTAAATACTGTTCACATATATGCTTCAATGTAAACACTTGATCTACACATCCCTTACCCACTCTAAAGCTCCTTGCTCATCTGCAATCCTACTCTCTGTCTTACCTCTAATTCTTTCAATAACAACCCTACCACACACTTTTCCTGGTATATTCAGTAAACTTATTCCCTTGTAATTTTTACAATCTCTTTTGTCCCCCTTCCCTTTATATAAAGGAACTATACATACTCTCTGCCAATCCCTAGGTACCTTCCCCTCTTTCATACACTTATTAAACAAAAATACCAACCACTCCAACACTATATCCCCCCCTGCTTTTAACATTTCTGACATGATCCCATCAGTTCCAGCTGCTTTACCCCCTTTCATTCAATGTAATGCCTCACACACCTTCCCCACACTCACATCCTGCTCTTCTTCACTCCTAAAAGATGTTATATCTCCCTGGGCAGGGCATGAAATTACCGCCTCCCTTTCTTCATCAACATTTAAAAATTCCTCAAAATATTCCCACCATCTACCCAATACCTCCATCTCCCAAACTACTGTTTTTAACTGACAATTCCATTCGTTGCCTAGGCTTTATTAACTTGTTTATCTCACTCCAATTTTTTTTTTCTTATTTTCATCAAAATTTCTTGACAGTGCCTCTCCTACTTTTTCATCTGCTCTCCTTTTGCACTCTCTTACCACTCTCTTCACCTTTCTTTTACTCTCCATATACTTTGCTCTTCTTACAACACTTCTGCTTGGTAAAAACCTCTCATAAACTACCTTTTTCTCTTTTATCACACCCTTTACTTCATCATTCCACCAATCACTCCTCTTTCCTCCTACACCCACCCTCCTATAGCCACAAACTTCTGCCCCACATTCAAATAATGCATTTTTAAAACTATTCCAACTCTCTTCAACTCCCCCACTACTCATACTTGCACTAGCCCACCTTTCTGCCAATACATAGTTTCTTATATCTCGCCCTAACTTCTTCCTCCCTTAGTTTATATACTTTCACCTCTCTCTTACTTGCTGTTGCCATTTTCCTTTTGTCCCATCTACCTCTTACTCTAACTGTAGCTACAAATAAATAATGATCCAATATATCAGTTGCCCCTCTATAAACATGTACATCCTGAAGCCTACCCATCAACCTTTTATCCACCAATACATAATCTAACAAACTGTTTTCATTACGTGCTATATCATACTTTGTATACTTATTAATCCTCGTTTTCATAAAATATGTATTACTAATTACCAAACCTCTTTCTGCACATAGCTCAATTAAGGGTCCCCATTTTCATGTAGGTAGTAGGTTGGTAGACAGCAACCACCCAGGGAAGTACTACCGTCCTGCCAGATGACTGTGAAACATAAACCTGTAACTGTTTTACATGATGGTAGGATTGCTGGTGTCTTTTTCTGTCTCATAAACACGCTAGATAACAGGGATATCTTGCTACTCCTACTTACACTTTGGTCACACTTCTCAGACACGCACATGCATGCATGCATGCATGCATGCATGTATATATATATATATATATATATATATATATATTATATAATATAATATATATACCACTAGTTTTTTTTCTTTTTCTAAAAACTGTAGCTCTGTTCTTCTTTATTTCTTCTATTGTCCATGGGGAAAATAGAAAAAAATCTTTTTCCCTTTGTA